AATAAACACGTAATGGATTTATTATTGTATTTTTATTAAGAAAAAAACTTTGGTAGGATGAATGCCTTTATAGCTGTAAACTAGTTTAATACAGGAAATGTGTTTAGGACAATTATTGTTTGAACTGTTACTAAAAAAACTGAATATTATTGTTTCGTGTGACATAATATCTTTGTATCATATCAAGGCTCAGAAAGAAAGAAAACACTAATTTTGAAGTGATTTGATTTACTAGTTTGGGTATGTTATGATCGCTTGTATTTGTGTTTTTTTATTGAGCAAAGCCACATTAGGCTATCTACTGTGTCTCCCGCGGGGAATCGAACCCCAAATTTTAGTGTTGTAAGTCCGTAGAGTTACTGCTGTCCCACCGGGAGACTCTTTATTGTTAAAAAGACATCATTGACACAGATGATTGGATAGATGATTGTTATATGGTAGGATAATCAGTTTTACTGGTGGAAAGAAAATATATTTTAATATGTTCTAAATAATGTATAGTGGCTTGTTTGTCTTTTGTTTTAAATTAGATTTATTTCCAATGTTTTATGATGCTTTCTAATCAAAAGATTATCATGTTCTATCTTTACAAACACTTCCAATAATCTAACTAGAAGATAACAAGGAATTACTACTTTGATGTTTTAACTTATAATTATTTAGGATTATAACAACAGAAAGGGAATTGCAATTAAACCGCAGGTTCGAGTCATGAGATGATCGTATGTAAAGCACATCTCCTGAGAAGTTTATTTTATCTATAGCATTTACATCTGTTTTGTAACTTTCCCCACACAGTGTGACCACTCTTGTGGACTGAGTCTGGAGTCGAGGCACGCGCTCTGCAGTAACGAGTTTGGAAATGTTTTCCCGAGAGAGATGTGTGATACAAATCGTGCACCTGAAGTGACCAAACCCTGCGGCGAACTTCAGCCATGTGAAACTTTGTGGTTTTCTGCAGAGTGGACTCAGGTGAGAAGACAGAATTAAATCTCAAGTTTAAAAGCGAGCTGTGAAATGAACATTTCTATGTGTTTATAAGCGTTTCCCGCTAACAGTGTAAACCCTAATCCCATATTTGCTCTAGTTTAACACTTAGGCTAACTAAACCAAGTGAATCACATATTTCGCTATTGTAACAAGACCTTACTTATCAAAATGGTCATTACAAAATAAAAAAGTAAACTATAAAAGGTATTTCTGAACACATATGTCTATATATATTGTTCACAAATAATTAAAATAATTAAATTAGTTTGTGTGTGCGTGTCCTTACAACTGTCGAATTGCTAAACCGGTTGTTATCATATATATATCCTTAGGACTTCCTGGGTAATGATATAGGGGTCAGACCTAAACGCCGGCCTCTTCATGTCATTCTCCGACATCTTCTATGTATTCCCTGTGCATACGTCATCTAGTATATTTTAAAGCATAATATTCCATTGAAACAGCAGCCCACCGTGCATTTCATATTCTAGAGTTGTTGTTAATTGCGTTTGTGTAACTTATACGACCTTCGTAGTATTTTGATACTTCAAGTACTAGCTTTTTTCTCCGCCATTTTTACTATTTTGATCTATTGTATCCTGGTGGAAAAAGTGCTATAATAGCCCTGTCTTCTGATTTTCCATCTTATCTCTGTGATGCGACAAAGTCTTAAAGAATAGCCTCAATTTCCATTTTCTTTTACATCGCTTATTCTCCCCTACTGCCTATAAACAGCTATTATGTAATATTTACATGTAGTGTAACCATTCTTATGGACTAGGTTTGGAGTTACGGTAAGTGATCTGCAGTAAATGAGTTAATGTTGCCAACAGTGTGAAAGTGTGTTACAGGATAACACAAAAAATAAATAAATAAACGAACCACGTTGATCACAGAGCTGTATACAAGGCAACTTTTTCTACGAAGCTGTAAATTAAGTTAGTAAAATATTAACTTTGTGCAAAGAAAACTGAAACTGACATATAGGAGTTTATTACATTTTGTTTGGTTGAATCCGTGGCTATGCCGTGTGTAATGTGGATGGATAAGGTAGAAAGTAATGTGTAAATAGTATATACATATATATATATCATTTCTATTATGCCATACAAAATAATACATCTTAAACCACAAAACAACGCCTTAAACTAAATAATTTAGATTATCTTCATAATATGAGTACAATGTATGTTAATATTCTTTTTCGGATTTCACTTTTTGTGTTGTTTTTTAGTATTAATCACTGTATGAGCTGTGTAATTTATAAAGTGTTTTATTCTCCAGTGTTTGTTTTCGTTTTTATCAATTATTCTACAAACGAAGAATATTTTGTAATTTCCAGTGTTCGGCCAAATGCGGATTAGGAGTTCAAACCAGGACTGTATTTTGTGGTCTTTGGGAAAACAACGAAATTACTAAATTTTCCGAAGACTCCTGCAAACTAGACAAGAAACCTTCTGTAATCCAAAATTGCACACTAGGCCCTTGTCCACCATCTTGGTTTGCAGGTCCATGGAATCGGGTGGGTTGGAAATTGTTTTATAAATATTTATCCAAAATAATACTGAAGCTTTGTTAGGTTCCATTAGCCATGCTAAAGTTCTACTTCATTCTTGCCTTTTCTAAGTATTAGGGCGTCTGCTTATGATAACTGATTACACCTACTTGATAAAACTATATGTTTAGAACTTTTACAGTATAAGTAGACTTCAACATACGTAAGATCAAACATATTCAGTAAATAATTTGGCTGAATTATAAAGAAATGTTTTGAGTTTTTGTTTGTTTGAAGTTAAGCACAAAGCAACACAATGGACTATCTGCCCACCACGAGTATCGAAACCCGGTTTCTAGTATTGTAAGACCGTAGATACACCGCTCTGCCACTGGGGGGGGGGCATGTTTTGAGAATTAAACTGATATTAAGCCTGGTACTTATAGTATCAAGTACATACTTGCGACCCAGATATGATAATTTTTATTCAAATATGTAACCTGTTTTTTCACTCGTAATATTATAATACTCAGTGCAAGTTAAAGGCATTGCATAGAAATTAAATTATACCAAATGTTGTAACTTAATTATTTCTGTCCATTTAAGTATGCTTTGTTTTCAATTCATAATATAAATAAATGACTGATAAAAAAATCATCGGGATTTGATCTCTACGTCCAATATTTTTAGCCAGTTTCCAATTCCTCCTTCTTTGAAGATGTATTCAGGTTTAACAATTACCCTTTCCAAAAACAAGAGCTCAAAAATGTCAAACATGGAGATCAAAATACAAAGAAGTTATTGTTGTCATAAATCTTAGACACGTATAAATATGGTAGTTCAACTTTACGTCTTTCTTGCCACAACTTTCAGTGGGTTTTGTGTTGTGAAAAAGACCTACTTTATAGAAGAGTGAAAACTGTCATAGAACCTGGATTCATATCTAATGTGTATAAATTTTATGTAACTTTTAAGCGGTGTCTTCCTTCAAACAGTGTCAGAAGTAAGTTGTAACAGTTTTCATTTATGTACACGATGGAAAGAAATAGTTAATTCTAATTTAAGGGTAAAATAATTATTTAAGTTCCCTATGACACGATAATGTGTTTCTTCTTCTTTTTTTTTTCGTTTACTTACGTATGTAGTGCTCAGTACCGTGTGGTGGGGGTGAGAAGACCAGGAAAGTTTTCTGTATTCAAAATGATCACGAGGTACCAGAAAATCATTGTGATCCAGCAGTTCGACCTTTCCACAGAGAACTGTGTAATATGCACTCTTGTGATGAAGGTAAAGTAAAAGAAATATCTATTTAGTGAATACTAAACAACAATTCTCGTTATCGTCAGTGTTAAAAAATAGAGATTAAAAAATTCGTCTGTTAAAAGACGAAATATTAGGTTAACTGAAGAAAAAGTTAAAACTGATGTTGTTCGTTATCTTAGGATGGTGTTAACGTAAAATAATCTTTATATAATTAATCACTTTAATAATAAGTTTTGTTACATGTACATTAATTTCCTTAGCTTGTACTATTAAAGTTTTCAATGTTATCCTCGTTTTCCAGACGAAGTGATGATTTTAGGAGGCTGTAAGAAAACCCGATACGGTTGTTGTCCTGATGGAATTACACCTGCGGGTCCAAATATGGACAATTGCCCCCAACCCCATTCAATCCCTGGTGGATGCCAGACTACAGAGTTCGGATGTTGTCAAGATGGTATTAGTATTGCACAAGGACCATTTAAGTAAGTTATTAGGAAATTAATGAACCTCAGTTATGAAATGAAACAATATGTTTTCAAATGTGAGATATTTAAACATAATATTTGTTCTATTGGACATCATATTGTATCTTGAATATCATTCTTCCTCACAGTACAAGTGCTACTTTTGCCAGTCTTAACATGGAGCCTATGTTGTCCAGAATGCTATGAGATTTTGTTACAGTACACATTTATATGCTATACCTGTCACGTGAATTGTCAAATCATAAACTGAAGGAGTTGTGAATGGTATTTTCATAGTTTATTGAAGTATCAAAAAAATTCATTGCATAATTTCACCATAATAAAACAATATACACATAGTTATCAGAAACTTCAACATATAATTTCCTCAAAACAGGTCTTTATGTGTAATTAAACAGCAGAAACTAAAACATTTGACACCAGAAAATACGCAAACTGGTTGGAGAATCTCACCAAAAGTTAATTTATTTGTATATAAAGAAGTTATAGGTACAAACATAGAACTGTGTTTTCCATAACGTGCACCTTGTTACAATGTTAAAGTGAGCACCATGAAATAAGCATTTGAAACCGTTTTTGAAACTGCAACATAATATTTGACATAAAAGTTTAAAGGTGTTTTCACAATAACTATGTAAAACTTGATATAAATACTAGTTTAAAACTTCTTATTCAAAATAAAATTTTCTCTTGGTAAAAGATTATTATTTGCAGTAATATTTGTAAACTATTATACTTTATTAGATTTGGGTGTATTGCCTTGTCATCTTGTACTGAAACCAAGTTTGGGTGTTGTCCTGATGGTCTAACTCCTGCTCTAAACGAAACGGGTGGATGTCCATTAATAGAGAGCTGTTCCCAAACTAGGTACGGTTGCTGCCCTGATAAACTAACACCAGCTTCTGGTCCAAACTTTGATGGCTGTTCAGGAATTTCCTCAGTAATAGAATGCGCTAAAACCGAATTTGGTTGCTGCGATGATGGTACCACATCAGCTTTGGGTCCACATTATTTGGGTTGTGAGGTAGGCATATCATCTGGTGAGAACTGTAATGAATCACCTTATGGATGTTGCTCTGATGGACTCACTCCTGCCACTGGTCCTAATGGGCAAGGATGTTCCGAAACTCCAGGATCTCTCTTCAATTTTACAGAAGAACAACTATATCATGAATGCAAGAGTAGTGAATTTGGTTGTTGTCCAGATGGGATCTCTGCGGCTACTGGACCTTCATATACTGGATGTGATGAAATTGAAGGAAGTGGAGATATCTTAACCGACTGTCACAATACATTATTTGGTTGTTGCCCTGATAACCAACGATTTGCAAAAGGACCCGAAAGCGAAGGCTGTGACGACGATAAAACTTCAAAAAAAGAAAAATGCAGTGACAGCAAGTTTGGATGTTGTCCAGACAAGGTATCCCCCGCAGAAGGACCAAATGGTCAAGGTTGTAAGATAACCAATAACACAGACTGTAGGATTTCACCATTTGGGTGCTGTCCCGATGGAAAATCAATAGCTTCGGGTCCAAGGTAGGATTTTCTTATTAAACTTTGTCCAATTATAGTTTCTTTCAATTAGTGCTGTGTTCCCATTTAACACAAAGAGAAAAAAAAAGTCGTTCACCTGTTAAATAATGCAGAAATAAAGCAAAGCCAGAATATATGTTGGAGACTGACAGATAACAAGTATAATGTGGAAGCTGTAACACATTGTTCAACAAATATAACAAGATATAAGTAATGTTTGTTAATCTCTATCTGTATATAAAATATATAAAGTGTATATTAGGTTGCTATAGTGCAACATAAAAGTTTTCTGACAGTAAGTATGTTCTCAGTATGCATTAGTGCATTTAGCTTGGAATTAATTTACTGCATGACTTGTAAACAGTAAACTAATATACTGAAGTCTCAGCATTCCTTGCCTGTTCCTTTGAAATGAAACAGCTTCTTATTAATTAAAACGTCTCTTTTGAACTTTGTAATAAGCTGTTATGAAACTGTTGATTATAAACAGGAACGATTATCTGTAAGAATCTTTTCTCTCACTTAGTTTTGACTTAAACGAAATTTCAATGAGCAAACCTAGAAGTTGGTTATTTGATATTTGATATGATTCGGAGCAGCTTAAAGGAGCTAGCGTTTCTCACACAAGTTTGATATAGATTCCCGCAGAAAGTAATTGACTTATACTAATTTACAAAAAGATATCTCCCATTTAATTCACGATCACATGTTTTTTAAATCATAAAAACAATTCCATTGATAATAGTCCCCTGGTGGGACAGCGGTAAGTTTACGGACTTTCAATGCTAAAATCCAGGGTTCGATTTCCTGCGATGGACATAGTAGATGGCCTAATGTGGCTTTGCTCTAAAAAAAAGACAAACAAATCCATGTATAATAAAGAGATTATGAACGTATAAAGTAATCATTTTATCTATTATTGTTTTGTTTTTACTATACTGTGTATTTCTAATTAATTGTTAATACAACAATTCAATAATGTTGTATGTGTACAGAATTGTTGCTTTGTTATGTTTCTACATAGTTATCATGGCTGCTCATGTCAGACGTTTCCTTTTGGCTGCTGTCAAGACGGGCTTCTTCCTGCAGGTGGACCAAATTTCCAAGGATGTGTCTGTGAGCTAATGAGATATGGGTGCTGCCCTGATGGAATGACTCCAGCCAAGGGACCAAACCAAGAAGGATGTGACTGTGAAAGATCCAAATTTGGTTGTTGCCCAGACGCAACTACTATGGCTCGAGGACTTAATTACCAAGGTTGCCCATGTAACACTTTTCCACACGGATGTTGCTTTGATAACATCACACCAGCTGTAGGCCCTGATTTGCAAGGATGTCCTTGCAAAACATTTCCTCATGGCTGTTGTCCTGATGAAAAGACGATGGCTGAAGGTCCTCACTTTGAAGGTTGTCCTTGTAATTCTATGCCATATGGTTGCTGCCCTGATGAAAAGACGATGGCTGAAGGTCCTCACTTTGAAGGTTGTCCTTGTAATTCAATGCCCTATGGTTGCTGTCCTGATGAAAAGACTATGGCTGAAGGACCTCACTTTGAAGGTTGTCCTTGTAATTCTATGCCTTATGGCTGCTGCCCTGATGAAAAGACGATGGCTGAAGGTCCTCGTTTTGAAGGTTGTCATTGTTCCACCATGCCCCACGGCTGTTGTCCTGATAAGAAGACTAGGGCTGAAGGTCCTCATTACAAAGGGTGTCCTTGTTCGTCTATGTCATATGGTTGCTGTCCTGATGAAAAGACTCCAGCAGAAGGCCCTCAATTTGAAGGTTGTCCTTGCAGTTCTATGCCTTTTGGCTGTTGTCTAGACGCCAAGACAGCTGCTTTGGGACCAGATTATAAAGGCTGCTCACAAGTCACCTTAACAGGAATTAGTTCTTACGAAGGTAAGAAAGAGAAAATGTTTTTTTTTTCATACATCAAGATTCGAAATGATTAACAATGATTCACAAAAATAATTATTGTAAACAAATGTAATAAGGTTTTGAAAAATTTAATGGAAATAACTTATACATCATTTTCACCCTTAGATTTTACATCAGAGGGGCTGATTCTAATACAGAAAGTTCGTATGCAAATGCAAAATTAGTTAGGTTGAGCAGTAAGTTATTTGACTTAAATCCACTTCAAGTAGTACCGGGTATTATGTACTGAAGTTGTATTATTCTTTCTATGTGTACAGTGTATCTTGACATAAATATTAATTAATGGAATTTAATTGAAACTGCTAGGAAATTACATGCAATGATATATATATTGGACATAATGTTTCTAATTTACATAAGAAACTAATCATTAAGATTCTGATGAATCAATTGGTGGATTATTTTCAAATAGTTTTACACATAAGTTTCAATGGCGAAGCACTGTTTTTTTTAAGTCAGAATTTCTTTGAATAATTCAAAACTGGGATGAGGCGAGATTTGAACCTGAATTCTTATCCCCTTATCGAGCAGATGCTATTTTTTAGTGTCCGCTCTTTCTAGAAAAGTGTATGAAATTAAATAGGGGACACGATAATGTATGCAATATAGCAAGTAGATATAGGCCCAACTTATTTACTTTCAAATGTATAGTAATAACTTCTCTACCCAATGTTCCATCAATTTATTACATAAGAAAAACTCATCAAAGCGATTACTTGCAGCATGAAGACTTGAAGAATAAATGAGTAATGTTTAGATGTACTACCTGAATAAAAGATAATAAGGAATAAAAAGACACGTCTAAATAAAAATAGAAAATGGTTTCATTCATACCTGTCAATTTATCGAATAGAAAAATAAAACCAGAAAAAAGTTTTCATCTAGACGTGTCAATTTATTCTTTATCATCATTTATCCAAGTTTTCTTTCCATGTCTTGCGGAACGACATTCAGTCAATAATTTACCAGTACTAAATCACATCATCTAAATCTACCTATAAGATATCTTACCTATATAAGCCTATATCATATTGGATGCAAAATAAAAATAAAGCCCCCCAGTGGCACAGCGGTATGTCTGCGGACTTACAACGCTACAATCCGAGTTTCGATACCCGTGGTGGGCAGAGCACAGATAGCCCATTGTGTAGCTTTGTGCTTAATTAAAAACGAACAAAGAATAAAATCAATATCCAAAATTTTGCTACCTTTATAAATAATTACATTCATAATACTTCCTCGCCATTAAGGTTTGTTTGTTTGTTTTTTGAATTTTCGCGC